GTGGCGGAGTCAGCGGGCGCCCCGCCGATGCTGCGCTGGACGATATCGCATCGACGGTCCGCGCGGAACTCTGCGCAAAGTGGGAATGCGAGTGGTCCGACGCAGCTGAGAAGCTCGACCGCGGCGACGCGGTACTGAACGAGTTGCGCGGCAGGAGGAACGAGCTGAGTGTCTGAGCAGCGGCAAGGTCGGGGTCGTCGATTACGCTAGCCGTACTGTCGGGAGTCGCGCGCCCGCGTTCCTTCTGCTTGCCTTTCTGAGTATGCTGTCTTTCGCGACTCTTACCTCGGTGGTGGTGGCGCGACCTCTTCACGTCCGGATGGTTCTTGGTGCGCGATCGTGGGGAAGCGTTCTGTGTCGGTTTCCGAGTTTGTTGAGTTCTAGAGGGGACTGGGGCAGGTGGCGCGCTGGGGTTACGGATCGTCCTCGCATTCTTCGAGGCAGGGGGACCTAGTAGGGCTGCAAACAGGCTCTGTCCGGTCTTAGCTGATCCACTAGAACCGGAGGATGAGATACGAGATACTGGTGGCGGGGGCGCCATTTGTCCTTGACGAGACGACAGGCTGGATGCCTGTGTAGCATGCTGGCTGCTGCCAGCATTGACTTTCCGCTTAGCGGGAACAGAGCGTGATATGGATGCGGCTTGTGTCTTGACTTCAAGATCGTGTAAAGGTAGGTGAGGAACTTGATGATTAGCCTTGTATGAGGCGTATGCAAGGCGGGCGCGAAGGTCAAATGTGAGCTATTTAAATCAAGATCGGTGAGCAATCCGAAAGTATCAGGATAATAATGGAGGCAGAACAAGAAGGAGATGCACGAGAATTCCTCGAATCCTCCGCCATAGGTTCGGCTCGCAATGTTCCCCCCCCCTCCAGCCTCACGTCTACCACGACACGCGCCAGACGCGTCGTCCGGTATATAGATAGATCGAAAATACGTGCCTTGGATATTTGTGCTCTGGCTATAAACTTGTTGATAGCAGTATCCCGCTCCTGAGTGTCAGGCGCGTCTGTCGTTGAGGCAGAGGGGGCAGGGCTAGGCTGTAGATAGGGTAGGGGCGGCGATGGGGTAGTGGCTGAAGAAGAGGGCGACGGCATTGGACGCGTCGAGCTCACTGCCGAGCACAGAATCAACAGATGTTGGGAGCAACGAGAGGCAGAGAGTGTTGGGGATGGGCCTCGCGGTCGCGTTGGACGTGTGAGCGTGGACGACGCGGGCGGGTGTATCAGCAACCCCTCTAAAGCGCGTCGAGTCGCGCGTTCCGGATCGGCACAGTTCTCTGCCGTCCGGATTGCCACATTTGGCCACCTCGGACCAGTGCCGCCAGGCACCGGAGTCTCCCATATTAAGACCCTGAATACTGCAAGAAAAATTGAAGGAAAGTACGAATATAAAGACTGCAGTTGTCACCATATTGGTCATTTAGATGAACACAGAGAGTCATATTATCACACCACATATTTTCAGCAACGTCGAAAGAATTTCAGAGGAGCTAGCCATACTTGGCCGAGCCAACAGATGTCATTCTGCCACATTTCCCTGTCCCTTCAGGAAATTAGTGTCTGGGGTCCACATAAGGGCCACATGTCGGAGTCTCTTCAAGCTCCGAGTCGGTCTACACATCGTCATTCTGCTGTATTATGTCATATGTTTTATTGCTTAAATAATTAAATATGTTTTCCCACATCCACACGGATTGCAACGAGATTAATGTCAAGATGGCTGGTTTTAATAAGAGCCAAAGTAATCTCAGCACCTACCATCATTCAAGTGACAAGGCCCGAAGTAGGTTTTCAGCAAGAGCGACTCGACACGTCGGAGGCTCTGCAAGTTCCGAGGTCGTCGGTCCATCACAAGTCATCTGTAATCATTCTGATTTTAAAATCCTCCATTTCTTGTACTTGTACAGTCAACGCAGGGATAATTCTATCCAGCAACCCCGGTTGCCGGCGTCAACCCGGGTTGCTCCAGCAACCCCTCAACTTTCATGATTTCAGAGGGGTTGCTAGCCTCTGTGACGGTCACAGACATGATCGGGTCTGGACTGCTTCAAGCCTCTTGCGACTCGGGGACTGTATTGAAGGTCTACCGCGTGGCGGGGATCCGATCTAGAGATATCAAAGCGCTCCCGCCCTGCGGACATGTCCCACCGTCGACCTCAAGTCCGAATAGAACTCTCAACTCAAGTGATACAGACCAGACAGCTTGACGAAGTTGGTAGGCTTTGAAGCAGACGATGAGCAGGATCTTCAGGATGAGGATGAGGAATCAGGATGAGTTCAACCTCGATGTTGCAGCTTGTGTAAGCAACATGGCCACAACTGTACAATGTGCAGGGCAGTTATTTAATGGACAGGATGTGTGATTTGCGGCCAATAGCACATTCGATACAAGCCGTACTGTTGTAATAGTATCAACTCACAGCCATGTGCATATTGATAGGCCACCGAAATAGGGAGCCGCTTACAATCGGACTATGTCGGAGTCGGTCTCAAGGACGTCGGAGTCAGTCCAGATGGTTTGAATCGTCTAATCTTTAGACAACATGGACCTGACTCCGCTCCTCCGGCTGTGCATCATTTTTCGAGAACTGGGCCCATCAGTATTAATTGTCGCGCTGGTGTGGATGAATGGCGTACGTGGCCCTGCACTGGCAGATTTGGTGCGAGTTTACAGACAGTCTACATTACTGCGCTGGCACCGACATCGGAGGATGCTCAGTGTTAACTTCAGCAGATCTATCGACAAATGTCACGGATTCCATCGGGCAACCGGGTTGCTGAATAATGAAGAAACTGGTACACTAAACAACCCGGGTTGACGCCGGCAACCGGGGTTGCTGAGTAGAATTATCCTCAACGCAGAGGTACTTTTTGTGGAGTTGTACCTATGAACTTGATACCGGTGCGAAACGGCGATAAGTCTGGCACATGTGATCATTCACATCTCATTCTGAGTACTATCAAGAATTTCTAGATACGTTCACCTCCCGAACTTTCCCTGAGACGCTCGCTGTATACGGCGCTTCTGCAGGTCACCGGTTAACAGCCGCCGTGCTTGTCGGTATGTCTATTGTTCAGAAACTGCTTTTGTCCAGTCGCACATCGCACCGGACAGCCCGCCTCCTGACACGCACAGGCGATCGCGCCGTTTCAAGTGATGCTTACAAGCCGCGCAATCCCATTCCAGCAACATTCCTGCGCGGAGGCACCTCAAAAGGTATCTACTTGAACAAATCCGACCTCCCTGCCGACGAATCACAATGGGACCGAATATTCCTCGGTATAATGGGCTCGCCCGACCCCGAGCACGGGCGGCAGCTCAATGGGATGGGCGGCGGCGTGTCCAGCCTTTCCAAGATATGCGTCGTCGGCCATCCCGCACAGCCTCGCGCGGACATCGACGTCGAGTACACGTTCGCACAGATCGGAATCCGGGACGCTACCGTCGATTATTCGGGGAATTGCGGTAACCTCTCCAGCATGATTGGCGTCTTCGCGCTGGATGAAGGGATGTGCGGGCCGGACGTGCTCGTCCAGCAGGGGAACGATGGCCACCATATTGCCACTATACGCGCGTTCAATACGAACACCGGGAAGCGCATCGACACATCGTTCCCTGTCACCGAAGATGGACACGTTCCCGTGTTGGACCTCCCACAGGCTACTGTGGCCGGTGTTCCTGGAAAGGCGTCGCAAATAACGCTGGATTTCGTTTCCCCGGGTGGGGCGAGGACTGGGAAGCTACTTCCCACCGGCAACCCCACGGACACCATTGATATTACCGCCTGCAAGTCGGCACAAGCCACTAACGTACCCGCGTCGCTCGTCGATGCGACCAACCCAACTGTGTTCATCACTTCCGATGACCTGCGCAGGGCTGCCGGCATCGCCGCAGACGCTGCGATCGAGCACAACAGTAAGTCCGTCTCCAGCCTGATCGAACACATCAGACAGCGCGGCGCCGAGCGCATGCGTCTCGACCCCTCCGCGCAGGCGCAGCCCAAAATCGCCGTGCTCTCCCCGCCCAGGCTCGACGACGCTGGCGCAGATATCGTCGTGCATGCGTACTCTATGGGCGTGCTGCACAAAGCCGTGCCGATGACTCTGGGACTGTGTCTTGGAGTCGCCGCGAAGATAAAAGGGACGCTCGCCTACGACATTGTACGGGATTCGAGGCGGGAACGTGCGGAGAAAGAGCTGCTGACGATTCGCCATCCTGGTGGGACGGTGAACGTTGGTGCTGATATGACGCCCGCGGGGGAGGTGAGGAGTGCGAAGGTTGTTCGTACTGGGAGGAGGTTGATGAAGGGTGTGGTATGGTGGTAGCAATTCTCTGCGCCGCAGCCTTGATCTATTCATTATTGAAGCACCGGTTCTTCCCTTTGGGATTCTCTGCTTATCGATGATGCGCTCTGGTGTCACCTTGAGCTCCGTGCCGTGTATACTCCCATGCAAGATCACTGCGGCCCACGAATTGATTGCATTTGCCATCTGTGTTTCGTTACCGCAAGCTTTGTCCAGCCACAGGAAGTATAATTAGTCTTGCACACAAGATCACCTGTCGAACGCGATTGGATTCCTGGCCACTCACTCCTAGAACAAACATAGGTCTCTCCGTAGGGTATATGGAGTGCCCTTCATTCGAGCTGGTCGAATGCATCCTTGCTCAGGCCGCGCTGCATACAACCTGCCCCTCACGAGCAAGCCCGTATACATCATGGTGGAGAACCACCGTCCAACTACATCAAAGATTCTACACTGGAATTAGCACGCCCCGTTGCACTAGAGGACTGTTTGCACAAGGCCATGGTTTGCCTGTACTATGGACCGAGTTGTTTCTACCTTCAAGCTCACCTGTCATTCTCCCCGTGTTACACCAACCCCGAGGTATCTGTGATATCCGGAATTTTTCTGTTTATGCCTTATAGTAAATTTGTTCCATTACTCACAAGTGTCGGAAGGCCAGGCCTTATCTAAAATGCTTTGGCAGCGTGTATCGTCTCGATGGTCTAATGGTTATGATTTTCGTCTCACAAAGCCTAGTGTTCGCAACGGCCTGGATGTAACGTCTTGTGCACGAAAGGTTCCCAGTTCGATCCTGGGTCGAGACAAATTTTTTTCGACAGGTTTGCCAGCGATCGCAATGGTACAAATCATTCGACTGTAACTACAACAGAATCATTTCTTCGACTTCGCTTGGAAGAAACTCGCTAACTCCCGTTGCCCCCCCGCCTTTTTTCCACCCGTCGCTGATTTAGTCCCGGTCGACTTTGACCCTCCGCCGGTACCTTCGATCGACCGTTTGGCTTTTATCTTACCCTCTGTCTCCGAGGCCTCCTCAATGACAGCCTTGGCTTTAGACTTGCGCTTCGGTTTCACAGGCTCGGCCTCGATCTCTTCTTCATCGACTGATTCGTATTCAGAGTAGTCCTCAGTGACTAAATAGCATATGCAATCAGATACGACATCAGGGACGCAGCCCGGACGGGACGGCACGCACCCATGTACCCCTTTTCGTCGAACTTGGTCCTGCTTTTGACGACGCGCTTCTTCTTCAGCCCATTACGGCCTACGGGAACTTCCTTCTTCTCCTTCTTCTTGCGTGGCTTGGATTTGGTCAGTTCGGGTTCTTTGATTTCTGCTTCCTCAGCCTCTGGTTCAGGTTCAGGTTCGGGCTCAGCCATGTCGACATCTTCGTCTTGCGCTGAACGCGTCTTGGAAGCTCTGATGACTTGATCTGCATCCAACGTTTATCAGCCAGGGATGGTTTCGCTGGATTTCCGTACTAGAGCGCACCATCATCGATGTCCATCATCGCCTTGAGACTCCTCTCGACTTCCGTGTCCGATCTCGCAGCTTGAGCCTTGACCTTCGCGTTTGCCTTGACCTTGCTTTTAGCAGACTTTGATACATTCTCTTCCTCATCATCTGATAGCAGCACGCCTTTCTTCACCTTCACAGATGCACCTGACGCAGATAGTGGTTGGGACGGGGGTACAGGGGTGGATTTGGCGGTGAACGCTTTTTCTTCGGAGTCAGATTCGGCCGTGCCAACTGTTGATTTGCGCTTGACGCCTCTCTGAGAGAGCAAGATCTGGTCAATGGGATTCAGAAGAGCGGACATTCGTGGTCACCTTCACAGGCACCTTAGGCTCTTCCATTGCCACGTCCCTGTCTTCCGCCTTTACCTTTACTTCTGATGCCCGAGTCTTCGTTCTGGCAGGGTTTGCCTCGGCTTTCTTGTTCTCCTTAGGCTGCGACTTCATCCAGTCCGATACGCTCTTCGCATTTGCCTTTGGTTTATCCTTCTCTGCATTCGGTCTAACTTCTTCTATCTTTCTCTCTGGCTCTTTCTTCTTATCTTTCGAGATCTTTTCAGGTTCTTTGGCTTCCTTGGGCTTCGGCTCGACAGGTTTGGCGATCACGGTAGGTTCAGGCGCCGTTGCCGGCTTTTTCAGCGTTGATGTGGAGGCAGCGGTCGTTTTCACTTTAGTCTCCTTCTAAAAGAATAGTGTTTCAGACTCATATGTGAATATCTACTGGAGTAAAACGACCAGTTACCTGAACGTCGGCACCGACAATCTTGCCCAGAGCGACAGCGAATTCGGGACCTCTGTTCGCGTCTAATTGCCGGAGTCTCTCGGTGGGCTCACAGACGAAAGCAGAATCCTAATATATTGGTTCAGAAGGACCCCATGAATATCAAGCTGTCAAAGAGACACTGCGTACCCGTAAACGTGCCGGCGAGAGACTATAGACATACACAGAGAAAATTCGAGAAAATTGTGACTTCGTCTCTGACATTACTAGGTAATGCACGACGTACAACAGTGATGATCAAACGACTTACTTTCCAAATCCTTTTCCCCGACTAAGACCACCTTCGTTTGCTGTACCAGACCATCGTATGTTGATCCATCCTCGTAGTCAACGTCCATTCCACTTTCATCTTGGCTTGAAGAAAGGAGAACTAGCTCAATCTCTCCAGTCACAATGTACGTAGCATGGATAGGTTTGTTTGAGTCTTGCGATGCTTTATGGAATATTGCAAGTTCCCTGGAGATAAACCGTCAGCTTGCAACCCTCCACTAGCAAAGAGTGCGTATGACTTCTTCGCAGTAGAAACATGAATATTGAGATCTCTGGATAGAGAACGAAATGTAACCTAGAGGCCCAGCATCAGCACTCCTACATTGAAATAGATCCATACTGCAACGTACCACGCCCTTCGATATCACTACATTCTTGGTGAGATAGTCAAGGACCACTTGCGAGGTCATGTCAATAGGCTTGATTATGATTTTGAACCTAGGTAAAGTATAGTTGTAGGTAGTAGTCTTTCGGACAGCCGATGTGGCGGATTTCTAAGTAGACGCGAATGAGAACACGCTCGGTCACAGTCACGGACGCGAGTACACAATTTGTCACGTCCTCCGAAGTTACGCGTCGGTCTTGTTCTCACTTAGGGCCTCGAAGCTCCTGCAATCTCACGATCTCAGAATCCACTCTCTTTAATCGACAGTATCCATCTGATTTGACGATGGAACGATACGATATAGCATTCTTGCACGGTGGAACAAAAGCAATAATTATACACATGTGTTATACTACTAGATTACCTGGTATGCAAGAAATTCACTGTCAAATGGGGGAGAAGATCCCGGTATCCCAATTAAACTTCGGCAAGGTAATCGGCTCTGCCAATTTCTTGAGGAAAGCTGCCCTGTCCTGCTCTCTTTTCCGATGTTTCTTCTCAGACTGGATCTGCGCAGACGTCGGAGAATGGGTCTGCAGGACAACCGTATAATCCGATATATAACCACCGTAGAATATTTGTATCTTGTTATTGCCTTCCTTAATATACGGGGAGACGTCCACGAAACCGTCTTCATCAATCTATGGCGAGTGGAGACGTCAGGTATTCGAATTATCATCATGCTAGACTACTCACATAGAATGGGGGCACAAGATACAAGCCACGCTGCTGGTTTTCATTGATCACGGTCCACATGGTTCCCGTGGAAGGCCATTCCGATCTGGGACGTTTCGTCGAGTCGCCAATAATCGACAGGACGTCTCCTGAGCGATAACACGCCAAGCTAACACAAAATCCATTCTCGAAGCTACAACAACAAATCAGAGATAGCGTGTAACAGTACGGCGTCACGTACCGCCCATCTGATTCAGACCTTCGATTGGACCACTGGTGAACCAGGGCGTACTGCTCAGCATTCAACGCGAATTCTAGGACGTGCTCGTGCTGCCGAGGCCCAGATAGGCACTTCATAGTGTACAACGTCGTGTAATGCCTAAGTTCCGGCAGCGACGACATTGTCTGAGATGCAGTGCCGATAGCGGCATCAGTCCCACGTTGAGCAACATCCGACGCAGAATCTAAGGCTCGTTCTTGCGGCTTCTCATCCGTAATGCTAACTGGTCGGTCGTGCTGTATGTATAGCGTTGCGTTGGGCATTTTGATCTCGGAAGAGTGGGCATCGTCAGCAATCGCTGTCTGGGCACTGACAGGCTGTGACGCTGTTCTAGCATAGATAGTAAGGTTTGGATACCCCCCTGCAACATCCGGCGTTGAGGGTAGAATTGGTAGAATATCGAGTGTTTGCTCGACAGCTGGCGAAGGGATAGTGGTTGAGGGGCGGATGTCACTGGCCTGCGGAGACCCTTCTTCTTGAGCCGGATGAACGGACGTCACCTCCGCCATCACCACGTCTTGAGCTTCATGATGTGAATCTCCCTCTATGAGTGCCGCTTCATAAGTAGAGTGTACATCACCGACGACCGAGCCTTCAACCGTTGGCTGGACCTCAATTAAATCACTCCTAACTTCTTCAGCCATTTCCACGTCCCTGGTTAGAGGCCCTGGTGATTCACTGGTCACAGGAACCAGCTCTACAGGTTCCATTGCAGTCGATACAGTATTGGAACGAGAACGAGTTGCCTCCGTTTCGTCTTGGGGCGACATTTGGGTCAGGCCAGCGCCAATCCCGTCAGCCATCTCGACGTCCTCTGTCGCGACGTCTTGCAGTCCCTTGACACTTTGTGCATGTTGTCTGCGCTCAAGGGCTACAGGGTCAGGTTCAGTCTGTGCGGCGGGCTCATCTGCCTGGGTCAAAGTTTGGCTGCCGTGTTTAGTATCCTCAGTAACCTCTCGTGGTTCGTCACTCGCTGCAACGACCCCCACACATTCGTCGACGGCTGTGTGTATCTTTGTCTCTAGGCCAGCAGATGAGAAGTGGCCAGGTTCAGGAGCCTCCGAATCCTCTCCCACAGTAGTATCCGCCAAACGAGGTTCATCTCCCAACTTCGGGACCCTATCCTCGGTAGCACTTGTACCTGGAAGCGCTGCAGCAGGAGGGAGCTTGGTAGACGGAGCTGGTGGCGGGGGCTGTATCGTACCCTCGCCATCAGCCTGTACTGCCACCGCCGCATCCACCCGGATATCAGACACAGTTACAGTAGCTCTTTCGTTAGGTGCCCCATCATGCTGAGACTCATGCGGAGTCACAGGTGACCGAAGCCACTTGACTATAGCCCAGGATGGTTCTCTGGAGCCATCATCCGAAGATGGGTCTGTCAGAGCTGGCGAAGAATCCATTTGTGCTTCTAGTTCGGTCGTCATTGCAGGGCGGGACTCCTCGTTGGCGACCCCGGCCAAAGGTTTTGACGGTGGTTCTGGTACCGCTGTTTGACCGGAAGTTTTGCTGGCAGCCTGATCATGCTCAGCAGAACCCGGAACAACATCGGCTGAAGTGTTTTGGACCTGTGTCCCAGTTGTTGCTTGTTCACCTAGAACTGCACCAGCAGTTGGTGTGCCTAACGAAGGTACTGTAGTTTCACTGGGGTCGCCTTGTCCGAAAATAGGATCCGCGGGCTCGGAGACAGTGGTCTCAGTATTATCCGAAATGTTGATATTGTCCATATTTTCATCACCAGCAGTCTCCGTCGGTGCAGAATCAACTGACTCCTGCTTTTGTGTCACTCCAGATGGTATCTGCACATCCCTGGACGGAAGCGAGGCTTCAGCGGGCAACCCTACTGGAGCCGTCTCCGTTTCCGTGCGCGTCGGCTCAGGCTCCTCTACGAATCCACCTGT